TTCTTAAAGAATGAGAGACACACAAGTGCAATAAAGAAGCAAGTTTGCAAGTTCTTAACAACTACCCATCTGTCAATATAACTCTTACCTTTCATTATGAGAACAGAAATAATTGATCACACAAACAGCAGGAAAACCATACATTCAAAAATCTGGGCCATCAACAGATCAGATTAGTGGAGGTACATATGACCTACTACCCAATCAGGACACACATAGCAAGGAAGTGAAATCAAAATAAAAGCAATACCATTTCTAGCCACCAATCAATTGATGCTTTTCAAAAAATCTCCAATCCTCTCTAACTTTAAAACTTAAGACTATAAATATTCCAAGCCAATTATGGATGGGAGGGCGATTTGGCTGCCTCATCACCCCATTGATTGCCAGGGTTGATTCGGCTGATCTGGCTGCTAGGCGGGGATCCCCTTCCTCCCTCACCACTCCATGTGCCTCCCTCCCGAAGCTGCGCGCTCGGTGGAAGAGGACAAACATTCCAGATAGAAGGAGTGTACCGATCTTTGGTCAAGGGTATACGATAGCTAGAACCTCCAAAACAAGCTCAAAGTCCAAGGCAATTATCATTTTTAACTGTTGTGCTGTGAAAGCCTGACTCCAATATAGGGTTAAGACTCTCTAGAAAAACCGATTAATATTCAGTATTGAGCTCCCAAAGTCCAATATACCCTCTCTGACTATGATGTAGAAGGACTTGTTAACCCACAGAAATGAGTATTAAGTAAGTGAACTGGGTTTCTCAGTGTAGTACCAAGTAGAAAATTGCAAACTATATTGGTGTTGTTATTAGAGTGTGAAGCTTTCATCACACTGAAAGCTTTAAGAAAAGAAGTGTTTTGTCACAATAAAAAAAAAATGAAAGCAGAGAAAATAAGTAAAGAAGAAAGTCAATGTTCCAAGCCTAGGGCAAGCATTTTTTTTCTCCCACATCAAAGATTCTGCTATCATTTGAAGGGCATGTCAAGACCCCTTTCTGGCAAGATTAGCTAATACATACCTTATACCCTTTTGCTATACATGCCATTTTTTTTAAACCAAGATCCAGCTATCAGATTGTTATTGGGAAGAATTGAAGGGAAAGTCAGTATAATCTTAACTTGAAAAGATACCTTGACTCTTTTAAATATTTGTATTTTATTTTATTTATTTTTTATTCCCTATTACTGGGATCCTGTAAAGTATTATTGGAGGCATTTTTTTTTCAATTGGGTATTCCAGCCAGACTGTTTTCAATATATATGAGAACACAAAGTTCAGTTTTTCATAGGAATCATTCCCTTCAATCAGCCTGTTGATCTGTTTGCTTAACCATAGTATTAATCTAACTTTGAAACAAATTAGGTGTATGTTTAGAAGGGGAGAGCAAATCATGTAATATCACTTTCAGCAAGCTGATTTCTCATTTTTGGGAATACACAAATTGGGGTTGCAAACAGAACCATTCAAAAGCATAATCCACTCCAGAGATAACAATCTCTTTCCTAGGGATCATGATCCTGACAGGTACATAACTCTATTTCCCACTTTCCCATTGAAAGAAAGGAGCATACACAAAATAAATGTTTAGAGAAAGAGAGATGTTTTGACTGTTTGGCAAATAGGAAGTATTTATCTGTTGCTGCCTATCTATTCAAAATGAGAAAGTGGGAAATAATTGAAAAGATGGGCAAGGAAAATAGTATAACTTCCTGCAAATTTGAATTGAAAATCTGAATTTTAATTAAGTTCACTTGCACAGGGTGGCAGAAATAGTCACCTTGTTCTTCAGTGTTTCTGTCAAGTCTCACTTGGAGTATTGTGCTCTATTATGCATACCATGTAACAGGGAGGGCATTGGTAAACTGAAGCAAGTCGAGAGAAGGGCTACCAAGATGCTGAAACTCTTGCAAGGAACAGTTAAAAGACCTACTGTAGATATTTTGGTTTTCAGAAAAGAAGGTTGAATGAGGGAGGAGGGATGAGAGCTGTCTTCAAATCTCTGAAGGGCTGTTATGTTGTAGATACTTCAGATTTATTCTCAATAACTCCAGAAGGTGAGACTAGAAGTAATGGGATGAAACTTCAAAAATGTAGATATAGATAAAACATTATGAAGACCTTTTTGACAGTAAGAGCTGTCAATCAATGGGATAGGTTGTTGCATGAGATGGTTTCTTCCCCTTTCCTTAAGTTTTTGAAACAGGATAGTCATCTATCAAGGATGATATAGAGAACGGATTTGGATCTGATGATTTCTTAGGTATATTCCAACTTTATGATGCAAAGAATAAAGGGGTAAAGACTGGAATAGGTCTATTGTTGAGTTAGGGAATGGCTTTTGCCTTTCCTACATACTTATGCATGATATAGGACAGCTATACATAGAGGTGGATCTTCCACATTGTTTATCATAGACATGGTAAAAACAAAACTCTAGAAATACATATTTTTCTGTTTGAATATGCATGTAATTGTTCTGTTTTCAGCCCTAGAGTAAAAGTGCTTGGAAGAAAGATAAATGGCAAGAGGTAAAAATATATTGGAAGTATCATGGATACATGATTTGGAATGCAGATTGTGTACTTGCTGGCTATACTATGATCTTCAGTGAGAATGTTGTATCTGTGTTTGATGACTGATAAAACAGTCAGGAAAATAGCAAAATAAATAAATAGATGTAGAAGGAAAACCAGACAATAAGTTTATGAGGAAAACTATCTTTGTTTTGTAAGTTAGAAATGTTTACTATATTTTGTATTTTTTTTTTTACTGTTTCAACCGCTAAGTCACTGAAATGTAGTAGAAACTTTCAAAGACCCCTGAGAACATCATTCTTTGGAAAAGTTTAGGAACTTGTACCTAGAAGACTACTTTCCCCAAAAATAAGACTCAACTGGAAAATAATGATGTTTGTAATATAAGCCCTACCCCAAATAAGCCCCAATTAAGATTGTAAGCCAGACAGTTGCATTTAGTACTATTTTCCCTGAAAATAAGACCTAACTGGAAAAGAAGCCATAATATATCTTTTGGAGCAAAAATTAATATAAGACCCAGTCTTATTTTTGGGGAAACACGGCATTGGACCAATGCTGTAAGCAGTTCTGTTTGCATCTACTCAAATCCTCATTTTTATGATTTTGTATAGTGTTACCATAATGAAATAGACAAGTCTGGTTTATTCCGAAATATTACTTTTAATGTCTTGACTGATTACTATTGAGGCTAAGCCTAATTTAGCAACATTATACATAAAGTAATTTGGGAATATGTTTAATCATAATCAAATCAAAAGGAAAAGAGCTTTTGTGCTTATGGTGTCCTCTGAAAACAGCTGGGTATATATCTCTGTGTGCCCTTAATTAGAGAAATAACTATTACTATAAGAATGTGATTTTGATAATAAGAACATCTGGATATTAAATGGATTATTTTGGGTGATATTCAACTTTGCGTTTTAATGTGATTTTTTTATAACTCCAGTATTGAGAAATAAGTCTAGTTTTCTTTTATAGGCCAAACTGCTATCAAGACAATGCTTTATGCATGTTTTTTCCTTAAATTTTAGTATTTTTGGTAACTTTTCAAACCTTAATTCATTTTTTTTAATTTCACTAAAGTTTCTTGCCTATGAGAGAAGAGTGGTAGTAATACTGCACTGGAATGTAAATTTATTAAGTAATAACACAAAATGAATACAGTGCAGTCTCTACATGGGCATAAGGCTTGCATCAATGTATAATGGAAAAGTAATCAAAATATTATGTAATAATTACAACTGCAAATATTTGTGGATGAATTATTTGTAACTGAATGGAAGAAAAGATTGTTATTCACCAGGTACATACCTTGTTCGTGTACATTTGAAACAGCTTTTTTTTTCTTTAAAAAAAAAAAGAAATCAATAATTTCCTGTTACTAATCTTTCTCCAATCCTAGAGGACTGTTTGGGGTTCAATAGTTAGCTTCCAGTAACTAAAATTAATAATTATTTTTTTCTGATCTTGACAACTAGGTAGAAGGATCTCTTTGCTTATTTATTTATTGTCTTACCTTCCACCTCTTGTAGACAGTTTTTTGAAACTGGATTTTGAAACTGCCGTTTCCTGGAAGAACCAG